AATAAAAAGGTACCAAAACCAGTTTCATGCAACTTTCTCCAATCTAATTCCTCAGCTGAAAAACACAGCTTCAGTAGTTCAGGCCAATTCAGAAATAACACATTTAAAAATAGTCACTAAAAAAAGCTGAAGCCAAAACTGGCAACTGCAATTTGCTTGCAAATGTTTTGAGCAGAATAAGAGCCTAAAGGGAGTTATATCATGAAGAATTAATCACTTCCTCTAAGAAAGAAAACAGGGTCAAGAATCTGGCATTAAATCACAGAGGATTTTTGGTGTTTCTAAATCAATTGAGTTGTGTTACTATTATTTACCCATATTTGCTTGTACAAGGACTCCATTACTACAATCACAGCAGCATCTCCTTGTCTGGGATTTAATTTTTTCTTTGAAGCTAAACAGCCCATTTTACTGAACAATATTTGAAGCAAGCTGTGATGCTGATTTGCTATTTACTGTTCTGATAAGCAACATATGAACATAAACATTTCAGACGTAACCATGAAGTTGTCTTGGTTTTGGCAATATGACTCATTTATTATCTATTTTAACATAAACTCATATTACTTTTGCAACACTTCTGTTTGCTGCTGGTGGCCTGTCCTCATTTATACAGGTGAAATCTGGGTCAAAGATTCAGTTAGAATGCAATTATTCCTTTGATTTAGAGCTCTGTATCCAAAACTTGGTCTCACCAACTTGGAAAGATGATCTGGATCCATATTTTAAGCCAGAATTCATTTTCAGACAGCAACTGGAAAAAGACATGGACAAAACCCAACTCATAAAATTTGGTAGAACCATTTTATATTTGTGCCATTACCAGGATACAAAGTGAAAAGAGAATTTGCCCTTTTATTTTCCCCCTCCTTCCAGCCACATCCTGAGTGGCGATGTGGCAACATCACAGGAAATTTACTGCTCATATTCTTCTGCTCTCTTCTGAGAACTCTTTAGAGGTCCCAGGGCATTGCAACAATTTTTAAGCTGCAGCTCATGAACCCTACATGCTGCCATGCTCAGTATTCCTGTCACCTTAATTACACATGTTCTTGACATATGGTCAAGCAGAATCAGCCTTCCTTGTGCATGACAAAACCCTGGTGGCTTCCAGGCTGAACATGTTCCCTGAAAAAATTAAGGTATCTTCTCCAAACAAAGATATTTACCCAGTGATAGCAATTATAACCAATTATAGCTAACTGCAATTTAAGACTAACACAGGGTTTAGAAAGCTGGCATTCTCTCTCATGACCCCATGGTAATAATTCAAATTCTAAATTCTCTCATCAAAATAGACTCCCTGTCCACACAAATACCAGACAATGAAATGCTCAGTTCTTGTAGCTTGTATAAAGACTGGCACATTGTAAAATCTTCCTTGAGCTGGCAAATATATAAAGCTTCTCCAAGTAACAAAGAACTGTTAATTAAATGAACCCTACTGATTTCTTTTCCATTTTTTATTACTGCCTATCTAGCCTACCTGGAATTGCTTCACTAGATACAAACCTGGATTTACAAGCATTTCTTTCTCATGCACATTGATTTTTAGATAAATAGCACTCTAGGACTCATAAGTTCCTATTTTGTTTGTGGATAGATTTTGTCAGCCTGACACAAGTGTCAAAATGACATCAGACATTAGATGCAAAGGAAGAATTCAATTACAAAAAGCTGTCTATGCATCCCATTAGTACAATGTATGCCTGCAAATTCAGTGATCTTTTCAGGTCCCAGTTGTGCACATGGCATGTCCAGCTAAATGTCCTGTGTTCATTCACCTTAATTTTCCTCTTGCATGTGTTGCATTCAGTTACATTCTCTTTATCCATACATCACATTTTTCATTAAGTGGTATGCTGGGTAATCATTACCAATAAAAGGTTTTCTGCTGATTTCTGCACAATTTGTTCTGTTTGTTTCATTGAATACACTCAATAATTCTGTCTGTATGTCCATGCATACAGGACATACAGACAAAACTGTAGCTTGCTGCTGCTGTTTCCATCTTGTTGCAAGGAGAGAAAAATACATCTGGAGAGGTGGGGATGCCATGAGGCCTCTCCAGAGCAGGCTGCCCAAAAATCTTCTGCAAGAAAACTATTCAGAAGGCACACAGGAAGGACACAGGCAGGAAAAAATGCTGCATTTATAATCTTTAAACATCACTGTTTTGATGAAGTATGGGCATAGAGAGGCTGCATAGTTCCATCACAGGTGCTAGCTTTAAATTAGCATAAAATCGCCAATGGATTATAAACCCGTGGAAATGCTAAATATGGGATAAACAAATGCATATTTTGGAGTTATTTTGGGCCACTCAGGAGCACCTCTGAGCTTGTGAGCACAGGCAGGAGTCTGGGCTCCTACAGCCAAAGGTCCATCCCCTCTCAAAAGATTGGCAGCACACTGGAAAAGAAGGAAAATGGGTTCCGAACAATCCAAAAGATCCAGAGATTTCTTTGATCCAGTGGAACGTGCAAGTCACTCTTTGGCTTTATGAAACAGTCTGTGCTCCACACATTTTTCTTATTTTATGACATGCTCTCCTTGGCCCAGGGAAGTGAAGCCAAGGAAATCATCTGTGCTCCAAGAAAGGAGAACTCTCCTTCAGGGCACAAGTTGGCTCTGAGAGTGGTAACAGGTTGTTCACAACATTTTTATGGAGTAAGCAAGGTCAGGCCAGGCCATCTGGGAGTGCCAGTGCTGTCACTCTTGACACACATCCCTGCATTTTACACTCTTACAGCTCCCCATTTACAGCACCATGGATTTTCTTGTTAAAGGCCTCGTCTTGCATGGATGAAGCTTTAGATTCTGGTATAACAAAGCTTGTGATTGACAGCCTATCCTAGAAATGCCTTAAGAAAAACTGTTTTGAAGATGAGAACGGCTCTTGACTGAAGCTTCTAACCCCACTTTATGAGCTGCCTGGCAGCTTTTACTTGTGATTTATTTTCCCCATGGGTTCAAGTGAAGTAGAAAATACCAAATTGTAGTGGGCTACTTGTAAACCATCATACCAAGAGAGGTACTATAGTTTATGTCAGCTCTCATCCTCACCACTTACATTTCTGCAGTCATGAAATAGAAAAAATAATCCCCCAAACACTAACAGAAGCAAAAAACATTTTCCCCATGGGTTCAAGTGAAGTAGAAAATACCAAATTGTAGTGGGCTACTTGTAAACCATTATGTCAGCTCTCATCCTCACCACTTAAATTTCTGCAGTCATGAAATAGAAAAAATAATCCCCCAAACACTAACAGAAACAAAAAAAAAAACAAGCCACCAAACAACCCTTTTTGGTGCTGTTTCATGAGTTTCACAACACACATTGAAGGATGACAGAAATCTGAAGAGTGGAACTCCTTCAATTTACCTCGTAACAACCTTGTGCTGAAGGAAGGGAGAAAGGTGCCAAGGAAAAATTTTGGACTGAGATTATGGAAGCAAAGTTCATAAATGCTCACGCTAAGAAGACAGGAAGGACAGTTTTTAAAACTGAGCTAAGAAAATGGAAAACTACAGCACAATTTGCAAACATGAATTATTATATCCCAAACATCCTCATTGCTCCATAGGTGTAGGAAAGTAACATAATGGTGTGCTTCCCATAATAATAATAATAATAATAATAATAATAATAATAATAATAATAATAATTTGGTTTCCACTCTTTATACTACTGGGAATAAAGTAATAGCAAGAAACTAAATTTGTGATCACAACCATAAACTGTTCTTGATAAAACTGACAATTTTGGTTATGGAAATAATTTTGCTGCAGAGAAGAAGGGTTAACATTGTATGATTGTCAAATTAAATGGTTTCCTTCTCCGAGACTAAAACATGTATGGATTTTTAAGGCTTGTCAGAGACTTAGATATTACAACATCAGGCTTCAAACAGCTAAGTAGCTCAAGCAGCTGCAGAATTTCCTCTCTAACATACACTTACCAAGTGATAAAAATTACTGAATATATAATATCTCTTCATTCTTATCACATTTTAATAAAAGGCTTTGTGGTGGGAAATACAGTCAACTGAGCCACACCAATCTTATGCCAGTGATGGAGAAAGCTGCTCTCATAATTTTGATCAAAATACTCTGGGACATCATTCTGCTCCAATAAATTAGGTGTGAGCTGCAGCACCATAACTCAGAGCTTATACAACCAGTGCCAGGTAAAAGGAAAACCCCAAGACTCCTCCTGTGGCTGCCCCATTGGCTTGGAACTGAAGCTTATAACATACCCACAAACATCTACTACTCTCTTATTTATTTCTGTGACTCAGACAAGAAAGAAAGAGCAAAATCAGCTCACAATTTCATTCATCTCATCACCCAACCTGTGTGCAATATATACTTCTGTACAATTAGTCACCACTTTCCAAAAAATTCCATAGCTACAACTCACTGGTTCTCAATTGGCAACACTTAGAACTGCTGAAAGCAACAAACATTACTGGCCAAAAACCCCAAAGAAGCTTACAGTAATCAAGTTATTTAACAGATTCAAAGAAGTTTTGTCAAACATGACATAAAACACACTAGAACTCATCTTCCCAAGATAGAGAAAGGAACCTTTACAAACACCTAAGTTAGTACAACTAATTAAAATAGGCAGATGAATTCTCAAAAAGCCACCTAAACACCTGTCAGAATACAGCACAAACTGGGGGTACCTGATCAAACCATGAGACCAAGATTGAGGACCACCTCAAAACCAAAAGAACTGTACTGGAACCTTGAATATTCTTCACTCTTCTGACAGCCCAGCTGTGATTCTGAATGATCTCAGGTGGTTCCCAATATGAGGAAGGGTCACAGGCTCACAATTTTATTTCCAGAAGGAAATTTCTGACTTTCTGAAAGTCAGAAATTCAGACTCCTCCAGCAAAAATTAGGTTCAAAATCCAGAAGAAAAAGAGCAACCCCAAAGCACAGAAAGGACAGCTTTTGACAAAAGAGGCACTGTGTTTAAATGAACTTACAGGAAGAGTGGATGCTTGGAAAGCTTTTCCTGCCTTCAGAGACCAGGTCTGGATCACCTGTGCAGTGCATTTCAGAGTTCATTACTCCATCTGGAAAGCAGCGGTAAAAGAAATCGGGACGCGGTCTACAAAAAACACCATGGATATTAAAAATACAAAAGCTGTAGTAACAAACAAACCTCAGAGTGATTATTACATTTACTGCTTATCACACACATGCAGGTTACTCTTGACTAGAGTGATCAGTTTTGCAGAAAGTGTAATGAATCCCAAATTTTCACAGGTCTTGCCAAAAAGTGCAACTCAGAATATTCAAAAAACAGCCACCAAAATCTAAACCAGCCTTGATGCTGACTGGCTCAGTGCATTGAGAAAACCTCTGAGCTTCTCCTGACCCTCTGTGAGCTGGGCCTGTAGGTTTGACTGGTGTCACACTGACCCTGAGCTAACAAACCACGTGGAGAAGAAAAGATTCAGAGACAAGCTGACAGCAAAATACTTGGCTTGGAGTGCAGGAAAAATGAGCTTATTCCTGTCTAAAGAAGTGGGTGTATTTTTAATTATTTTAAAAGCACCCATCAAATAAAAGTGCCAAGTGCCATTACTGTCAGGGCACCAGTTCTGCAGCAGAGAGGGTTCATCAGAAACCAAACACAAATATTGATTCCTCAATGCTGCAAAACATCCCAGCAACAAAAGCAGCACTGGACTCTGTCAAACAGTGTATGAACTCAAGTCAAATGTGTATTTTTCAGCTGAAATTATTCAAAATTTTGATAAAGAGGCAAAAAGTACCTAAAACATATTTTCTGAGCCCTTCATTCAAAGTAATGCTTCCCTAAAGAAATGTTCTACCTAGGAATCCATTTACTGCAGCTCCCAGGTTTGTTTTGCTGTGCATGTTGATGTCACCTGGACACAGACTGTACTTCTCACAAAATGAACTGATTCCTGTTTAATCAGACAAGGGGCACTGGCACCTGAGCTCCCACATGCTGTGACTCTCCCCTCCCATGCTGCCAATTTAATGAACTGATTTCAGCTCTCACCACTCCTGTCAGAGCCCTCACTTGTCTGGGTCTGCCGGCGAGTCAAACAAGAGCAGAACACGGGCACGGATTCCTGCCACAGTGGGGTGTCACCTAATGAAGTTGTACAACACCTTCACCAGGCCAAGGACAGCTCCACAGGGCCCCTCTGACTCCACTGGAACAGCAGCTCTCTATTTATTGGGATTTGCTGTAGCTGTCAGTCTGTCTCCATTCCTCTCAAGTTAAACCCATCATTTAGAACATGACAGGACTTACCTTCCCACTATTAATTTAATAGTATTTGTGCAGACACCATTCAGAGCTAGAGCCAAGGAAACAGCTACAAAACACAATGAACAAAGAGAACAATAATAACCTCAGTACCAAGCAATAAACTGCAGCATTACAGCATTTGATTTACAGACTTAAACCACTACTGGACTGAAAATTGAATGATCTTTCTTTTCAGCCTATTGTTTTTGTTGTTACCCAGACTAAGGACAGACCTCAGAGCATTGTAACAATCATGACTTACTTTGTTCTTATTTCCCTACACAAAGCCAATCTTCCTACCATGCCATTCGCACAGGCATAAGTTAATAAATGGAAAAAATTAGAGAATGAAGTACGGTGGGTTTGCAATTTTTGTGTTTTGTAATTCACTGGATTAAACTCTCATGCCCTTTCTTTATGTCAAGCAGAATTTCTTTATAGACCAATACACAAGATAGAGAAATATATGTACACACACAAGTGTATATATGCGTGTGTGATGCAATTAAACACTTCACTTTCATGCTAAAGCATTGTCTTTTGGCCAAAACTACAATTAGATGACTTTATTTCTCTTTCAAGAGGATTTGGATGTTTTGATTAAATATTTCAGTGTTTTCCCTTTACATTTGCACCCATTATTAACAATTTTTTTCTGATAAAATTGGACAACAAGAAGGAACTGTCATACTAGGTGAGAATTAATCATCTCTTCTATTTGTGCTTTCATGCCAAGTCCCCAGACTTTGCAAAGAACCTCACCTCAAGCCTGTGGAGATCTTTGCCTTGATTTTACTGGCACTTGGATCCTGCACATACACACATTTTAGATTAAAACTGATTTAATTTTGCAGTCCACACTGTAGCTCCCTGTTGCAAACCAGGAGCCAATGAATCTTATTTCCCACCAGAAAAAAAAAATTATCAGGCAAATGTCTCATTTCCAGCAGAACATTTACAGTAATATAGCTTTGATTATGACAGCCACTGAGCTATTTTCTCCTTGGGCTGCTGCCCCAGATGCTGCACTTCAGCAGCACTCATCCTGTCTCCATAAAACCTTTGCCTGAGGATATTACAGATCATAAAAATGTATTATAGTGTTGTGTGTTATATTTTTTAAAGTAAAAAAAAAAAAAAAAAAGTGGGACCTTCATCAAAGCAAAAATAAGTTTTTTTTTTTCCAATTACACAGTGCCATTTACATCCTACCTAGTTAAAGCAAGGTTAAGTATTGCTTTGATTTTACCATGTAAAGGGCAATAAAAAAAGTGTAAATTAGCCAGTAAAGCAGAATTTCAGAATTATGAATGTTTTAAACATAAGACAAACAAAAACATTTGCATTCCTTAGTGTTTCAAGGTATCCCTTGCCAGTGAAAGTGCTTGAATCAATATTGGTCTCTGGCAATATCTGTAAATAAAAAGGATCTGAGCACATATTACTGTAAGATTTCAAGAGATAGGCACAGCCAGAATTAGCTGGAACAGCTTAAAACTTACCCTCTCCATTGTCCTCTGCTCTGTTTTCTTGCCTACAACTGTAATCAGACCTCACCCACAGCACAGTCACTACAGCTCACAGCCCAGGATTAAGTGCACACCTAATTCAACTGGCAGTTAAGGATGAAACAACAGCTTCTAATTAGAAAAACTCTGCCAAGAGCATGGATTTTGCAATGGGTAGCAGTAAATTGCAGGAGAAGATCAGAGAAAACAATGAGAGGAGTAATTTCCTACACTAAACAGCTGAATTGCACAGGACTTTCCAGTCAAAGCTTTGATTTAGAATAGCTGCAAGTACAAATAAGAGGTAAGTAATAGATTGGGTGTGACAGAAAAAATACACATCTGAACAGCCTCTCAGATGGACTTGTCTTTGCTGATCAAATTCCAGTCCTTGCTGGCTAGATTGTGGAATTAAGGCACAGAATCTGTACATCTACAAACACATAAACCCAAAGGCTTCTGTGAAATGCCCTGAGACTGCACTGAAAATGACTATAATGGGCTGTAATGGAAACAGGTTTTCTTCAAGGCTTGAACTACACTTGGAATCAATCTCTGAGAGCCATAAGACATTTTTCTACCTTGAAGTATGACATACATTACCTAAGAAAGCCTCTTTAATTTCGGTCTTGTCTGTTCGACGGATTATTTTCACCACAAAAATGACTGCCAGTGGCGTGAGGAACGAAATTGCCTGTGAGAGATAACAAACACCATGTGTGAGAGCATCAATTCCTTCTCAGTCCCACTGATTAATAATTAGCTGCAGCCAGCTCCATTTAAACTGAAAGGCTGAACGATCTTTATCAGACTCCTGACCTTAAGCAAAGTGGGATGATTTGTCTTTGCAACTCCAGGGTGACAAGCACATTAATATTCCAATATAGCCCTCAACTATAATTGATTTGTAATTGCCCAGAGATGCATTTAAAATGTCAGCTCCTCCAATGAAAAAGTAACAGTCCATAAGGTCCACAAAATTCCAAGACACAGATTTTGGACATTTTTTTCTCAGGGTGCATTGCTGAGGAAGGCAGCCCACCCACCCAGGCTGAGTGCTCAGTAAGCCCCTACTCAACACAACAGCCTGCAGCACCTGGCATTTTAAAACGCTCTTTTTCTTACTTTTTGTTTTCTTTTCAACTGTCATGTTGAATGCATGGGGAAGATTTTGTCTTTATGATTCTTTTGTTTACAAGTGTTCAGATGTGGAACGAGCTGCTTTGTTTTGTTCAAACTCAGAAAAACAACACCTGAGCAACTACAGGTTTAGTTACTGGTTAAACAGAATATCCTGGAATTGTCAGTGCTGGAGGACAGGAATCCTCCTACAAGGAACCTGAAATGGCATCTATGCCTCAGTGTACACACTTTATTCTCTTTTAAAAAAGTGAAAGTTACTGGCTGAGGTTTGGGTTTGGTTTTTATTTTTTTTTAACAAGGCAAAAATTAAGCTGTAAATGGCAAAAGGGATGCCAGGTCTTAAGTAAGATTATGCTTTCTTTACTGAAGCTGAATTGAGCCTTACTTCTTAAATAGCCCCAGTGATAGAAAAACCAGACCAGACAGATATATTATGGCAAAAGACACGTGATTCAGTCTTCTTTTTAAACTTTAAATTTAAATAGAATTTAATTTTTTATTTAATTAATTCAAATTTTAAATTAATCCCAGCCCTCACTTTATGATTTCAGACAATCTGAGTAGGAAACAACATGACAGTGGGCTATGTTTGTAATTCTGGCTGTGCATCTTGTACCAGATTGTCCTTGCCTGCATCTCCAAAATACTAACTCAGCGAACCATTCAGATTAAAACACAGGCTGCAGTCTGTTCCCCTTTTCTACATTTAGGAAAGCAGGCACCAGAATTTGTGCAAAAAGAGGAGTCACTTCCACTTAAAATCTCCCCCTGTCTAAGTATGTGTGAAATTCAAGTTTGGATGCCAATGCCACTTTACTGCTCCAGAAATATTCACTTCACTCTCTCCTCATCAACAATTTAATTTCTGCTTTCAGAGACAGTGTGAAATTAAAAATAAATAAAGAGAAAAAGTTGAAGCAAATCCTAGAATTTCTAGTTTCATTCTTAAAAATAAGGATTGCCACCAGGAAAAAAAAGATGAAAAATATCTGCATTCCAGGACTGAAGAACATGTAGAAATATAGCCAAGGCTGACAGGCTTATAGTGGTGGTTTAATGGAGTCAGAAATCTTTTGAACAAGCAGGAGCATCAGAAATTATCAACAAAGAATAGCATTCAGATGGCAGCTTGTTCCAAACCGCTTCCCCATCCATCTTCAGAAATCTGGTAAAACTGCAGATTTCCTCATATTTCACAAGCATGTGAATTTTTTAGGGAGATGAACTATTCATGTTCGTGGTGTATTGCTGCTCCTTACACAAATGCATTAGCTGGAAGGTGCTTTTTATTCTGCAGCAAAATGCACACACACATAAATTTTGGCTTGTGAAAGACTCCTTTTATTTATTTTGCAAAAAAAGTTTCTCTATGGCTCATATCTAAAACAGATTTGGAAACATTCTAATGAGCAATACTCTCCTCAGATGCATCTCAGCTATGTTTCCTTTCCCTGCAGTGAAATATTCCAGCATTGCCAGGCTTTTGTGAAACACGGACAAAATCTCTGTCATTTATTATCCATCCTGGCAAGCCAGAGAGGTGCTGAAGTCACAGGGACACAATTCCACTTTTCCAAGGGAAAGCTGGCAGTTACCTGCACTTTCCAAGACGAGGAATGTCCTTTGATAGAGAGACAGAACCACGCTGAGCTCATTCCAGTTTTTGCTACCCATGCAGAAGTCAGCTTTGTCTAATTTGGATGTGCAATCACAACATTTCTCTTGAATTCAAGTCTCTCATAGCAAATAAAATAATCCAGCAATTCATAGTGTCTTAGAGATTGCTTTCTGATAAGCCATGGCCATAATTTCAATATCAGAGTACAGTGGTGGCAACAAATTCTTTTCACAATGAAAGATTATGAGCAATGCCAGAGCCAGATTTTTCTTCTTTTAAATTAAAAAAAAAATAAAATAAAAAGAAAAGAATACAGAAACTACCAATGTTTCTTAATGTAAGAAGCTGTTGACTGTTTAAAATCTGAGCCAGAAAGAAAACACAGGCCATACAAATGTTACTGACACAGAGTTGCCTCAAAGTTCCACCCACCACAAACTCTCCCAAAATCTGGGGCTATGGGAACACATTAAATGGGAATACATTATAATTATATCCCAGAATTGTGCTTCCCAGTGCCTATTGCCTGGGGAGTAAGAGGATGGACTAATGATTATTCCAACTGGTTCCAAAAATCGTTTCAGCACTTCAGTAAAACCCTGTACCATGATTCACTCTTGGTTCTTGAACTCCTCAGTTACAAACACATTAGAGAAACCATACAGCAAAGTAATGCTGAGCAGGAGGAAAAACCACACAATTAAAGTCAGTCCTTCCCAGCACAACAATTTAATGTTTGGCTTGGGGGTTATTTTGTTTGTTTGTTTTTTGATTTTTCGTTTTGGTGTTTTTTACACAGCTGTCTTCCATTTCGGGAAAAACATATATTTTCTTCCATCCAAGATTAAAAAGTCCAAAATAGAGCTGCTTCTTAGTGCAATATAAACAAAATATTTCTTGTTCATAAAGGCAAATTTAAAAATCAGGCCTTCAGCATCTGTCTTAGAAGGTTGAGATAAATGGTTGCCTCATACACAGGAGATACCTTTAAACTGTTCCTTAATTTAAAACATTTTATAAATTAAGCATTAAGCATTTATAAATAAAGCTGAATAGAAATTATGTAGCTGATTTGCATTTAATCTGAATTCAAGTTTGAAAAATAAAACCCTGGCAACACTGAAGACTCAGGAAAAGATGACTTTGAGACAGCTGTTGGGAAGACTGAACTATCACTTTTACAGCCTGAACTACAGTCATAATGTCAGCATTTCTGAGGTGGTCTGTTTTACTGCAGTCATATATAGAGATTATCATGATTATTAATCATTGTTGGTGAAGATTGTCACAATTATGAAGTTTGATAACCAAATTCAGCCATCCAGTCTGTATCTGCTGAGCAGGGAAGAGCCAGAAGAGCAGCGACAGCAGGGCAGCTCTGTGATACATTTAGTGTTGGCAGAAGCTAAAACAAAGGTTTTGCCTCTAGGGAAAAGAAAAAGATTATTCAGAGTCCAGTATCTCAGTGCCTAACATGACTAAAACAAATCGGATCTCCAAATTTAAGCAGTTAACCTTCTAAGAGCACGGCAAGGTTTTGCCAGGTCACCCAACCAGCTAATTGAAAAAACTTCTCTACTCATTTCTCTCACATCCCTCTCAGCTAACACTGCTCTCAATACTAAACTGAAAAATCAACACTCATAAATTCAATCAACTGATAATGCTGCTTTTTAAAGACTTCCCATAATTTGCTACATTTTGGACAACATTGGCTTGGAAAAGGATTGTCTTTAGCATTAAAGGAACGTCCTCTACTTGTGAAATATTTCCTGCTGCTCATCAAAGGAACATTTACTCAGTTTGCAGCCATCAAATGGCCTTTAGTACTTACAAACATGAGCCGTGTGGGGATGTTGTCTGATTGCACCAAGGGATTTTTGTACAGCCAGATCTCCTCTGGCTGGATCACTCTCTGGAATGGATCCAAAAATTCCGTAAAACTGAAAAAAACAATGAAAGGTACAGATGTTTCACAATTTGAAGTGATGACCAAAAAAAACCCAGAAGATTTCTGCTCATTTAGAATTTCCCCCAAATTTGACTATGACACAGCATGCATGAATTATCCTTATTAGTAAATTGTTACCTTGCCATCCTACCTCACCGCATTTAAGTAAGACAAACTTTATAAATACACCCTTCAGAAAATGGGTTTTAAAAGCCTACACTTTTGAAGTTGTTCTACAACTTTGTAAAAGTTACATAAACACTGCTGTGGAAAACAATTTTATTTTTTTTCTTGGGAAAAGTGTGCAAATAAGACTGTGAGATTAAATAAATCATGTAGTCATTTATTATCAATTTACAATCATGTAATCCTGTCTTTTATAATTATTGTTTATAATTCCTGAAAAAATTATACAAGCAATGTAAAATATTAAATGTCTTTCAAATGTCAAGATTTAGACTTTGAAGCCTGATAGCTGCATTTGCAGGATCACAAAGCAAAAGAAAGAAGAAGCCCGGAAAATTTCTTCTACTGATAAAAAGAGATAACTTTAGTGGATATCTCCAAAAGAGACTTACACCTAAAACAGGATGGACTGTCAAGCTGAAGAACAATCTAAGTCTAGCTGAAATATCTCATTCTACCGAAATAATTTTAATTTCATTATTATGTCTATTAGCCATCTTATAAAGCAAAAACACAAAAAAAAAAAACAGAAAAAAAGCAACCACAAAAACAATAAAATCCACCCAAACACATGAAAAACTTAATCATTCTGTAAATACGTTATTTTACAACTAAGAGCATCAAAATAAAATGTTGAGGCTCCATTGTGCTGTAGAAAGCAATTTGTGTGGGTATCTTTTGTCATGCACTGAAAGAAAAAGCAGGAACTGTGATCTGTGGCTGCAGTAGCAAGTTTCAGAAGCTTTCCATGGCTACCTAAATTATCTCACTTCATTTGAACCATACTCCTTTTTCCACAGAGTCCTTCAGTGCTCTTCAACTTTTCTTGGCTTTGAATTAATATCAGACAACCTGAGAAGTTTGGCCTTTGTTTTCCACTGCTCGTTTCAGTTTATTAGTTTATTAGGGCTCGAGGAATGGGTGCTGAGGGAGGACACAGGGACAGTTTCCTGCAGGTTGGTATCACTTGATAAACCAGAGCCAGAACTCAGAGGTGTAGTAGTCCAAATCTTTATTTTCTGGAAGTTTTCCAAAGCCAAGGGCTTTAAACCTCTCCAAACACAGGTTTTACATCAGTAGCAGGAACATCAAGTGACTTTGCAAAGAGAAAAAGCCCAAAGCAATTTGCAGAGCAGAGTGAAATTAAACCATACTCACACATGCAGTTCTCCCCAGGGAAGACAAACCTCAAAAAACCCTGCTGGGTCAGCAATTTCCTCAAGAGAAGCAAGCCACTGCCCCTGCCCGTGGCAACGGGTGGAACTAGGGCATCTTCAAAGGTCTCCTCCACCCCAAACCCTTCTCTGACCCCTTTATCTGGGCACACTCAGACTCCCTGACCTCTTCTTCCTCTCCTTTCCTGTGTAATTACATAGTAGCAGGCACATCAAGTGACTTTGCAAAGAGAAAAAGCCCAAAGCAATTTGCAGAGCAGAGTGAAATTAAACCATACTCACACATGCAGCTCTCCCCAGGGAAGACAAACCTCAAAAAACCCTGCTGGGTCAGCAATTTCCTCAAGATAAGCAAGCCACTGCCCCTGCCCATGGCAGGGGGTGGAACTAGGGCATCTTCAAAGGTCTCCTCCACCCCAAACCCTTCTCTGACCCCTTTATCTGGGCACACTCAGACTCCCTGACCTCTTCTTCCTCTCCTTTCCTGTATAATTACATACCCTCTGAACAGAGAGAGACATGGTTCTACCAAGAAAATCCTGGGAAGCTGTGTAGAACTGTGGGAAACTTGGAGGTAAGAATTCAATTATTATTATCTCCCTTTCTGTAACCATTGTTTACAGATATGTTTCTCCAGAGTGTGCTATTCACCAATGGTGTGAGAGAAGATTCTTAAATGCCAATCAGGTCTTAGGTCCACCATTGTTTCGATAAGAAATGTAGATTTCCAATAATAAAGTGTCTTTTCATGCCTTCTGATGATGGAGTCTCTGTATCACCTCTGGCTGTCCCCAACACCCCTCCAGTGATACTTTCCCAAAGGAAAACAACCAAATTTAAGGACCAAAGAAGGTCAAACACAGCCTTGTCACTTGTAACAATATTTCAGTTTCTATACTGGCCTACATGCACAACAAGATTGTTCTGGGAGCTTAAGGAGTCTGGTTTTGCAAGGGGAATATTTACTGTTGTACTCAGCCTCTCCAAACCCACAGTCTGAGTCTGCTCTCCCAAGAAAGTGAACTTCAAAAGTGTCAAAACAATTTGTTTCAGTGTTTTCAAAATCTTTTTTAAGTTTAAAAGACAATGACTTACACAAGACATGAAAATAGGAAACATTTCTAAAGAACAGCTCCATATCACCCATATGAAAAATTCATTTTCTAGTTTTCAACTAGAAAAATAAAGGTCAACTCCTAGACAATGCAAGCAGGTTTGGTTCCAAATCTCAACTAAGAGAGTCCTAAAGTCCATTATTTGAAGTGTTTCTGGTAACTGCAGAGTGCAAACCACAGACAAACATCTGTGCTTCAAGGTGATCATGACAGATCCGTGCACCAGTGCACTTCTGGAAAATTTGTCACCGTGGATCAGAAGTGTAATTAATTTGATGTTAAGACATTTGACATTATGAAAAAATGCCAACAGAGTTAAAGGTTTGGGGCTCTTCTTGATCTTTTGTTTCCTGCCCCTTGTGATGTAAGAAAGCTGAAATTATTTTTGTTTAAATCTGACTAATTTTTTAAAAATCAAACTCGGTTCTCACAGGAAACACACTGCAGGTACATACTGTCATAAGATTTAATGCCTTTAAGAGCAAAATAACACATGCTAAAGAGATGAAATGTAATAAATAACATAAATAGTATCTGATTTCAGATGAGGACTGATTTTTTGATTAATATATACTCATCTGTACTCATATAAAGAATGAGTAATTTCAACAAATCCATCAATGACTGTAATTATTATTATTTTATGCAACAGCAGCAGTTTTGTAACCACTATATATTAAATCTGATTAGGTTTTCATCTATTTCTTTGACTTGTGTTCTGAATATCTCCCCAAAATTGTGTTCAAACTTAGTGCAACATAGTGCAAAAAAAAATCCCCAGAAAACAAACAAACAAAAAAGTTTTCTGAAACTAGGCAAAATAATTTCAGAATCACTGTTGAAGGAGAAAAAAAACATATCTGCAGAAGGCAGCAGATGTCACTGTGAACAATACAGAAATAGAAAGTAAACAGTTAAAGGAAAGAGACTGTAAAAAAGAAATAACTTTTTTTTTTTTAGCTTCCAAAAGAGCTCAACTGCTAATTAAATTTTTATGCCAAGACTCATAAGAGAACAATTCTCTTCTTTTTTGAAGCATCACCAATGGGTGAGTGGATATGAGATTTCACTAGCTTGAAGGCAATTCCCTTTGTACTCCATTAAACAATCATGAGGACATACTGGCTTCTAAGCTGCCTGACACTTGCATTTATGTTCCTTTGTCCCAACCAAAAGTGCAGTCTATCACTATTCAAAAGTCAGCTCAAGCTTGTTTAAAGGACAAGATGTGATGAGAAATGAATGCAGGCCTCGGACAGAGAAAACTGGTTTTGATCCTTTTGTGTTATGGCCCAAAGTACAACCTCAGCCATGGAAGTGTCCCCAAAAAAACTTCCTTTGTTTTAGTACAGAAAAATTTAGTCTTAGCTTTTTGGCCTTTTTCCATTTTTACATATTCGCCCAACGTTTTTAACAGCTTAGCAAGCAAGATTTCAAACACTTCAGCCTGATGACAAGTCTTTAAGGCATAAAAGCATTTCCATTAACTTCGAGAGCCTTTAACTGTGACTTTCAAAGCAACCCAAGGGAAAGAGCAGTCCAAACTCCATTAAAAGCATCAGTGAGCAACAGGTGCCCCAGTCCCTGGGGTTGCTTTGGCCATGCCAGCACTGCTGCTTACAGCTCCACACTGAGTAAAAACGCTGCTCTTTTCCCAGGTCTTCGAGGTACATTAACTTCATTTCCATTTCACAGCGTGCAGCCCTTTAGGATCATTTCATGCCAGCACCACAGCACAGCCAGAGCCAGGTAACAGCTCACTAAAAGCAGTTTTGTGATGTTATGGACTAATAACTTGGGGTTATCTTTTTATGAAACCATTCACTGGTAGTGGAAGAATCAAACAGAGCATAAATATCTTCATAGATGTTTTGACCTGAGTTTCCACAGGGGTTTTCATGCCCCATAAGCAGCAGCAGGATATTGTTTGGCATTTCACTCTGCTATTTTTGGGGTCCCCAGGACGAAGGAGGAATGATTGAATCTGATTCCATGTTCTTAGAAGGCTAATTTATTATTTTATGATACTGTATTATATTAAAGAATGCTATACTAAACTATACTAAAGAATAGAGAAAGGATACAGACAGAAGGCTACAAAGAATGATAATGAACAACTCTTGACTTCTTCCAGAGTCCTGACACAGCTGGCCTGTAATTGGCCAATAACTAAAAACAATTCACATGCACCCAATGAAACAATCACCTACCACATTCCAAAGAAGCAAAACACAGGAGAAGCACCTCAGATAATTATTGTTTACATTTTTCTCTGAGGCTTCTCAGCTTCCCAGGAGAAGTAATCCTGGCCAAGGGATTTTTCAGAAAATATGACAGTGACACCTCACCTTATTGTTTGCACTGCCTGGCCCTCAGCTGCATAAACCACACAGCAAAGCTGAAATTTCTGCCTGGTCCTGAGCATCAGCTAAAGGGTGGTTGGTTGGTTGGCTGGCTGGCAGGAGAAAAGGGAAATTGGGTTTTTTTGCCTTTCAGTTTTCCTCTCACAGACAAAT